AAAATGCAGGTATAGTGGTCAATTTAATAGTCAGAAAAAATCAGATTTTTTCCGCACATCGTCCCTCCAGTCGGTAGTGAATACGTGTTTTCCACAGGAACCTAGCATGTTCTCATTAATGATTCTAACACCCTTGTCCCTCAAATGGAGCTATTGAATAAGCTAAAGTAAATTGAAGGAAAAGGATGCATATAGAGCTTCACCAAAGGTTGCAGTGCGACTTTACCTTAGTACGCGCTTCGATCGGCAGTTCTTGGATTCTGCTGCTCCAGGCCAGATGTACGGGAAGGAGAGAGCTGAAGAAGAGAAGATCATGAGATCTTCTTCCTCTGAGCAACTGAACTCGACAGCCCAGGCGGGAAAATCAGGACAGGGAGGAGGCTTCGGACGCGATCTTTCCGGAATACGAAGGGGATGGTCGCGCTGCTCCTTGGCACCTCCCTGCGTCACGCAAGAGGCCAAAGAGAACTAAGGATGGGAACGCCGGGATTGCTGCGCGGACCCCGTTGGGGGGGGGGAGGGGCGAATGTGCGATTTTGAGGCCGCGGCGTTGTCCTTTCGGGTTGTGCGGAAGAAAAGGAGGGAATGCCGGAAAGTCCGTGGAGGGAGGAAGAAGAGAGAGGGGGAGTCGCGCGCTGTTGCTGGCGCAAGGAAGAAGAAGGGAAAAGAAAAAAAGGAAAAAAAAGAAAAAGAAAAGAAAAAAGAAAAGAAAAATCTTGGGCTTCTAGACCATTCCGGTTCGATTCGAACCGGTTTGGTCTAATTTAATGATTCGGCTCGATTTTACTCAGTTTACAGGGTTTTTCACTAGGTCTTCGAATAATCAATTTGCGTTTCGGGTCCGGTTCAATTTATTTTACTTATTTTAATTAGGTTTCATAACATTTCCTCCTCCATTAAGCTAAATACAAATAACTAAGTTAGTAATTATAGTTGATTTTAGGAAAACCGATTAGAGTATATAGTATTATATATATATATTATATTACATGAATAGATGAGATTAATTGCTGGGAATCTTTCATTTTGATTACTCGATTAAATTTAACTATTCTCGTTGCAAAATTTTGTTATAATTATATTTTTGGGGCTTGGGCCCAATTGCAAAAACTTCGAACTCAAATTAAAGATTGTTCAGCTATTTTAATTCACTATTTACGGCCCATACCGTCGAAAATTCAAATTTTGATTTAATAAAAATTCAAATGTTTCGAAAATAAAAATTCAGGGTGTTTCACTGCCAAGTTCTGAATGCCAGTCACATGATCATGAATGGATTGTGACCAATCAAAAAAAGTTAAAAAAAACATTCAATTAAGTTATAGAGATATTATATATATTTTTGTGTTAAACTTTTTTAATTTGCTATGACTAAAGTTATTTTAGAGTATTTTACAAGGACAATATAGAAAATCTCATTATTCATCTCTCATTTCCACTTTTATATATGGTATAGATAGATAGATTATAGACTGTAAATTTATTTTATTATCTATTAAGTTAAATAGAGCAAAATAATGTATATGATAAATCCAGAAAAATATGTAATATGCATTTAGCTCTAACTTTTAATTTAAATCTTAAATTGTATAACTTAAAAACATATATAGTAAATAAAAAATATTTAATTTTCATGTATAGCCTTATTATGTAATATTAAAATAATTAAAAATATAATATATTTAATATAATTTATTATATATATATTTAACGTTAATTATCTGTAAAGCATAATATTCAAATAAAATTTAATTGGATATTAATAAGATTATTTAGAACATTTTTAAGGGCATTCAATGTAACGTTAATTATCCTATAAGCATAATATTTAAAATAAATTTAATTATTAATATATAGTTAACGTTAATTATCTGTAAAGCATAATATTCAAAATAAAATTTAATTGGATATTAATAAGATTATTTTAGAACATTTTAAGGGCATTAATGTAACGTTAATTATCTATTAAGCATAATATTTAAAATAAAATTTAATTGGTTATTAGTAAATTTATTTTAAAATATTTAAAATTTCAGTAAGCGCATTATAGATAATTCTATTATTTCCCCACGTTCCCACTTTTATATATAGTATACGTCAAAGAAAATTTAAAGAAATTTCTACAACATATATGTATTAGAATAATAAGATGATGATGAGATTTTGACCATAAATGTTTGTAGTAAATTAATTCATAAGTAGCGATGAGTACTCAATTAAAAATAGAATGGAACCCAAAGAAAGAATAGACGTACCAATTAAATCACATATTACTTTTAAGCTAAACTCCAAATTTGGATGCCAACCAACCTTGAGATAACTTGAAATGGTTTGTAAAAAATTTTGAAAATCAAACTTTAACTAATAGTCTATAAAAAAAATCGTAAAACTAGTCAAATTGAAGTGATAATTTGATAATAAAAATATATTTAATTATTTTTTTAAATGTTAAGTTCAAATGTTTCCCTACAAATCTGTACTTACATAAATAAAATTTCTGTTCATCTATGTTTGATTTGACAAAATTTACTTTCAATTCTTTATTACCTATATATTAATTAGGTTTTGTTTGACATTGATTTTTATTCTTAAATCATTTTAAAACAATGCTTGTAATGTTCGTTTAAATTAATTCTTTACACAAATCTAAAGCTCTCCTCAAGTGCCAAAAAGTTTTTACAAATTGTGACACATTGGAGATTTTGGTTGTTGCTTCGTAGCAAACCAAAAAAGAGAAGAATGTTCAAATAGAAGGGTTGTAGCAATGATGGTGTGACAATGAGAGATGTAGGGTGGGCAGGTGTGGGTTATGGCCTAGGGAGGAGGAGGATGATGATGGTGATATGGTCTCGGTGAGTGGAGTTTACAGGGCAAATGCATAAATATGCGTCTGTATTTCATTAAAAAAACTTTATGGCACTCGGAGTGATTTATTATACCGTTGAAATTACGAACTTTACTAATTTTGTATTTTTTGATATACTAGTAATTGTTTTTTTTTTTTTTTGTATTTTTGGCATTTACGTTCGAGAATCAAGATATTTACTTAATGTATGGTTAGTATAATCTTTAAAACAATAATTTTCATATTTTTCAACTATCTAATAAATGTTTAATTGATTTAATTTTTAAAGTTTGAATATTCAATAGAATAATTTTTGCAAGTTGAAATATTTAATTCGTACAATTTTATAAATTTAAATGTTCAATAAATCAAAGTAAAAGTTGAGAGCGCCACAAGATTTTTTACGTAAAATAAAAGGATGAATTTATGCATTTAGCCTAATTTAATTATTATCCCTTGTATCAATGGTTGGAAACATTAAATTTTATCTCACGAAAAACTTTATGATACTCTTAACTTTTATATTTCTATTTAATATTTCAATTTATAAAATTAATATATTGAACATTTTAATTGACTTATTGAACACTTCAATTTATAAAATTAATTAGATCAATCAAACACTTATTGGATGATTGAAAATATGCAAATAACCTTATTGGATGATCAATCCAACACTTATCTTCTGGACGTCTTTAAACTAAACAATATAGTATAATATTGCTAACCTCATTGTCAATATCTTCCAAACATATATAAAGAAAGTGCCATACCTTACTAAAACATCCATAGTCATAATTTTTTATTCATGAAAATAACTATGATGTCCCAATTCACTCTTTTTGAAAGAAACAGTAAATTATTTAGTAAATTCAAGAAAGTTTTCATTCATTTGTCTTTGAAAGAATTTGGCAGCCCCAAAAAATAACTTTCTCCCTTTATTTATCTTTATTCTATTCACAGTCACACCTCCTTTCTAGACAATAAGTGGGTAGATTTTTTTTCTTCTCCGCTCTTTCTTTCTCAATCTCTCCATTTTCAATAGGCCAAGAGTTTACACTTGACATTATTGTACTGATGGTGGGTCTATACATGCAGGGCTTGGATTGGATCTTGCATTCCCTTGTCGACATTAATTTATGGTTTCATTGCTCTTAAGTCAATTCCAAGCTTTTTAGTTCGACTTTCAAATATCAAACTTTCTTTTTTTTTTTCTGTCAATACATACTTTTTTCTGCATTCTATTTTTCATATTTTCTTTTCCTTTATAGATATTAAAGTCCGCTCAAGCCTTACGAGGCTAATATCAGGAAAAGCTCGAACGATCTTCAACAAAAAGGTATCTGTACTCGAAACCGACTCAGGTGAGTAGATAGAGAATATTTAGGGGGCGTGAGACAACTTTTTCGAAGAAACTCGGCAAAATAGCCCTGTAACTTCGGAAGAAGGGTGACTCCTCACAAAAGAGGTCTCAGTGACAGGCCCGGGCGACTGTTTACCAAAAACACAGACCCCTAACAATGTTTTTGTATTAACACTTTATTTGGTAAAAATAATTTAAAGAGCATTTTTTTCCTTCTCAATTCAATAATGCCACGTTTTCCATCACGAGTACTTTCTTTTTCTTTTTTTCTTTTTTTTTTCTTTTCAATTCAATAATGTGATTCAATGTACCTTGTAGTCTTGGGACCTTCTTTAAATTTTTCAAAATTTTTTCTTGAGTCTTACATATACTTTAATCATGTTCATGTTGGTCTCTAACATTTTTAAAAATTTTAGAAATTTTCCCTTTAATTATATTTTATGGATATTTTTAAAAGTATCCATAACTTTTGCTTTCAATTTTCTTTTTCTTTTTATTGTTAAGTCTAGTTTTACATCTACCGTACCACCAACAGATTGTATATATATATATATATTTTTTGGTACTAAAAGATGTTGGGATACTAGAAATTTAACCTTTAATCTACACTGTACTAATAAATTAAATAGTAATTTAATAAAATTACTATAAACTGATCAAAATTTAAATTGATACTGCAGTGATTAAGTATGCCCAACTCAAGATGGCTAAATTAACAAAAAAAAAAAAAAAAGCCAAAAACCCTGACAAACCAATTTACAGCACTATAGCAAGCAGTAAAAATGGAAAATATCTAGTCAAAAGGTAAATAATAATTATATTATTATTAGAAACAATATATAAATATATGGAAAAAAAGATCTAGTGCATTACAGTAATATTATAGCCAACAATAGCATCACCAGTAGTAATATCAAACCAATGTGTCTTAGCAACCGCATAACCACGAGCCAACCGGAAAACTCCAGTCCCACCGACGATCGGCAACTCACGCACGGGACTCAGAGCCGAGTTCTTCCCAAGAACACTAAGAGAGCTACCATTAGACATACCATTTGTGAATGCGAAATTCATAGCCATTATAAGGCACAGTTCATCCTGACCAGCTGAACCGTAGAGTCCTTGTGCTCGACCCACCAACTTGGATTTCGGGTCGGGCCCTTCTGTCAATGGATCATCCGCCATCATTATAGTACCAAAAAGGGTTGGGGATTTTTCAGTATAAGCAGACTGAGCTACTTTAATGGCGCTAGGGTTTTTGCCGCTGACAGTGTCATGGAAGTAGAATTGGAGATTGGTTACTGTCTCTTTTTTTGGTTTGAGTCTTTTTGGCATGTTCTCCAAACGGAAGCTTTGCACCCATTGCATGGATGCCATAAGGGAAATGATGAGCAGGACTAGACAAGACTTTGCCATGTTCTTGTATTTGTGGTCCAGCAATGGAAGATGTTGTTAATGAAAGGAAGAGGAATGGACAAGAGATGGAAGAGATACTTGCATAAATAGGTGGATTTGGCAGTGGTAACTATTTCTCCTTTTAGTCAAAAACAGTTCAGCAAACTGTGTTATTGGTTGTAAACTTGTATGGGCTTAATTTATTGGGCTCTGTTTAGAGCCCAACTCCAACTACCCATATATTATAAATTCAAATAAGAAAATATAATTATATTTTGTTTCCTTTTTCAAACATGGCCATTTCTTAAAAAAAAAAAATGTAGGAGTATGGGTAGGTGGGTGTCTGTTGGTTGCTCCCCCAATGCATTTGAATAAATTGAAAATGAGTTTGTGGATCTACCATGTGCCTTTGAGTGCTAAGCCTTTTGCTCGTTATTAATTAAAATTTAGTCCACCTAATTTTCCTTTATTAGTCACTTTTCCGCATTCTTGGAAAGAAATCAAGTCCCTTTGCCTGATTGTCCTGCAAAAGGAACCTAAAATTTCAACTAGTTAGAATTGTTATGCTTGGGAAAATGCTTAATGTTTCAAAAGACCCTCAAATTAATATTGTTAGTTAGGTCGGTGCAAGATCTTAAAGTTGACCAAAAATCCTTACAAATATATATAAATTATTGATTCTAGTTAGGATTAGAATTGAGGCTAAACGATACTAAAAATGATCTTTACAAATTCAAAAGCTATGACATTCATGGAAAAAATATTCATATAGAAGGATAATTATGAACTCCGAAATGAGAATAGTCTCATAAATAAAGAGTACGGAGATATTCATCATGGTACTAAAAAAATTTGAAAAAATCTTGCTAATGAGTTAAATATTTGAAATAAGAATAATACTCCTATGGAAAGTTTTTTTATTTTGATTTAAATTATAAGTTGAAAAAACTTTCTATAAATTGACTAAAATCTAACAAATTCTCACTCAAATTTTAAGTTTCCTCAATGGAGGTTCTATTATGACTTTGGTAGACATCAAACCTGCTTGATGAGTTGGTCACTGTTAGACCGGGTCAAGTCGGTTCAATTGAATTTTTTACTTTTTATTTTTTTATAATTATTTATAAATAATTAACAAAATATACTCATAAATAATTTTATAATGAGAAAATAATAATGTATTGTAAACGTTTAATTATTTTTCAAGCCTTTCATTATCTAATATTAATTTATGAATACTAATTTTATATCATTTATTATCCAAACCAAATTATATATTCAACGTAATAATAGATAACAAAATATAAGTTAGAGTGATTTAAATGTTATAATAATATTTATAGCATTCATAAATCACAAAAATATAAAAATATTTTTGTGTTAATTAAAATAATATTTTTATTATTTCATTAAATAAATAATTATGAGTTTTAATATAAGAACGTTCAAAAAAATTAGTTAAACTAATATATTTTTGGAACTTTTATTTATTATGAAATTTTTTAAGAAAAATACGTTAGTGGATGGTATGAATTTTTTAAATTAAAGAAAAAAATTTGTGGATTCCCAAGATTTGAGCACACGTGACCTTTTAAAAAAATCATTTGTGCTTTAACCATTTGGTTCATTTAATTTATGAATAAATTTTTCTATCTAAATTTAAAGTTTTCGGGTTTGCAGCAAAAAAACCGAACTATATCGGATCGGATTAGAATCCAATTTTCAAAAATACTGCTGATTTCCATTTAAAAAAAATATAAAAATTTATATTTTTATTGATTTAATTTATAAATAAGACGATAAATTCCACCTAAGCAAGTATTTTTTTTTTTCAGAAAATAATCAGAACATACGGTACCAGTTACCCACCAACCAACCTGGCCAATGCATTAAATTCAACAGGTGAAGTGTTTTTTCCTTAATTTCCTTTTCCAATTAAGGGGTTACGTCATTGTTAAAGCAATATTATTTGTTTGTCTTGATTATACAGTGAAAATTTTCTTTTACATACACAGTCAAATGATATTGAAGTGATATGCTGCCATTTCTTTTTTGAATCATAATTACACTCAATGGCTGTAGTATTTAACGTTCCTTTTTTTGCATCTTTGAAACATTAAATATTAAATATTAAAAAAAAAAAAAGAAAATAAAGATATAAATAAAAAGCCTCAGCCGCATGCATCTTGTGATAAAAGTAAAATATTCCCACCTGCACATGATAATGGCACGGCAGATTAAAGACTCCACCTTCATCTCAAAATGAATTTGTAGTTTTATGAATTTAATATTTATTGGATATTTTTATCGTTTACTGTTAATATCTTAAGTATTAGGGATGACAAAATCAACTCGACTTGATGGGTATGCATCTAATCTGAATCCAGTTAAATTCAAATTTTAAGATTTTGACTGGATTTAGCAGGATATGGATAAAATCCGATAATTTTATCTTGGATATGGGTTGGGTATAAGTATATATATATATAATCCTGAAGTAAAAAATTAACTCAAGATACTCTTTGCGTTTGAGATTCTTTTTTATCTTTTTTTTTTTATAATTTTTGATTGTTTTAAATTTTATTTTATTTTACTATAATTTAATTTGTTTACAAATTATCTACAACAAAACAAATATGTTTTAAATTCAAAAGATTATGTTTAAATGATCCTATTCTATCCTATCTTTTTTTTTTTTTTTTTTTTTTTGTTGAATTGTTTAAATTTATTTTATTGTTACAACCTAATTAGATTTGTTTACAAATTATTACAACAAAACAAATAAGTGTTTTAAAATTCCAAATAGATTATGTTTAAATGACTCCTGAATACTATGCTTTTTTTTTTTTTTTTTTTTGGATTTTTTATAATCTCTTTATAATAATCTTTTTTTTCTCTATTCGGTATTTGCGTGTTGGTGTGCATGGCCTGAGCTTTCTCAGCTCCTGAGAGCTTTCAAGGAGCAGGGTTTGATATTGGCTGCTCTTCTGAGTTTGTTTGCTATTGATATTCGCTGCTCTCCTGGGTTTTCTTTGTTATGGCTGAGACTTCCATAACTACGTTGTGGCCGTGGAAGGCACTAGATTTCAGTTTCTTTTTTTTTTCAAGTATTGAGAAAAGAGATTTGAATTTTGTTTTAGTGAATATTTTCTGTGAATTTGTATGTTATTGTATATGATGACTACTGATTGTGTGATTCTGATAAAGACAACATTAAGTTTAAGACGTGTATGATATACACATTATGCAGAAAAGCTAATGCACCTAAGTGGCGGGCTATTCTCACAAACAACATTGGTCATTTTGACACTGTTGATTGAGCTAATTTAATATTTTGGTTGATGCTATACAGTAACATGGATGATACTTTTGCGGGTTTGAGATTGTTCTATCATTTTGACAAAGGAGAAAAAAGAGAATGAAATCAGTGTAATATAGGTGATAAACAAAAAGAGGTTACTTTAACCTGCAACATGCCATTATATGATAGATGTACAGTGAAGGAAGGATGAAGGTATCACTATTGTGTTGGAGGCTTCGAGCATATAATTCGAGGCATATAATTTTTTTTTTTTGGTAAGATAAATTTTTATATTCATAATAGAGAATTGATTCTTTTATCTATATGTTTAAAAATTGAGCTTATTAATTTTAAGGGTATTCATAAGTTATAATTAAGTTTTATAAATAATATTTATTTATATATTATTTATATTGAATTATTTTGAACTATAAACTGTATGGAATTATCTATAATAATATAAATGTTTAAAATTTTGAATTATAAATTTTAACTAAAGCTAGATATGAGTAATTGAATTTTATTTAATATAAATTAAAAGTATTACAATTTCCATAACAAGATAGTTTAATATAATAACCTGTGGAAAGAATAAATTTTTTAATAATATATTAAATGTAATTTATAAATTTTTTAGATTGGTTTTTCGTATTTTTTTTTATTTATTTGTTTACCCTACTGTTTATAGATTGAGGGTTTGATAGATGAGGGTTTGTTAATAAAAAAAAAAAGTATATATATATTTTTGTTCTCCACTGTTCTTCTGAAATTCCCAAGAACAGATTAATGAGGTTATTGAACTTAACGCCCAATTAACCGATTAATTGTTCTGTTTTGGTATTTTTTTTTTTCTTGCTGGCTGGATCTTTGTTAAAAAAAAAAAAAAAAAAAAAAAAAACAAAAAAAAAAACCTCTCATTAGTTTAGGCGGCGGAAAGGGAAGTTTTCCGTCTCTTGTTTGGTCTTTTAGGTTAGGGATGAAAAAAATAACAGTATAGGTCCCCTGGAAAAATTTCATTATTAGATTCCTTAATTTTATGTTTTTTTCGGTCATTAGTCCCCTTTTCAATTTTCTGTTAATTATCATAATTGGTCCCCTTAATGTTTCTGTAACTTTCAGATCTAGGTTCTTTTAATTTTCTCTTTAACTTCAGATTAGGTCCCTAAATTTATCTAGTAACTTCAGAATTGGGTCTCTAAAATTATTTCTTGTAACTTCAGGATTAGGCCCCTCAATCTTCTGTTTTTCGTATTAGGCCCTTTAAATTTCTCTGTTTTCTTCGTTTAGACCCCACACTTTTACTATTATTCAAAATTATATTGTAGCTCCAATTTCTCTAACTTGAGTCTCTAATTTAGTGGACCTTAAAGACTAAGGAATCATATAATTTTTTTTTTTTGGACTTAAATTTTAATATGAATTAGTGATTATTTCAATATTTAGACAATCAATCATTTAATTGCAGATTGTTGTTCTTAATTACAATTTACAATGATTTATAATTCTGTCGATTGAGATTAAAATTTTGGCAGTGATTTTAAGTTCCCTTATTTGTGTTTGATTTATTTGTCTAAATAAATTGATTTGCATCAATAAGTCACCAAAGATGACCTCTATTGCTTGAATTGATTTATTTTTAGATATTAGACAGGTGTCAATTAGAAAAAAATTCGTTTTGCGGATAGTAATTCGGCCCCCAAAAGGAAGGTTGCTATCTGGCACTGTAGTTTTATTGTACATACATGCTTTGGCAATAAATATGTGATAATTGTGATATTATTTTCCATGATAATGACTATTATCGGCCCAAAGGATCAT